GAGGCTTCTCCCAGTATCAGGGTAGCCCGCTCTGGTGTTCAGGCTTTGCGTCCCCGTCCCCCTCTCCGTCCCCGTGAACCTCCCCCGCAGGACTGGAGCAGCAGCACCCTACTTCCTACCCAGAACCCCCAGCCCACTCCTGCACCCTCCCAGACCCCCCAACTCGCTTCTGCACCCTCACCCCAAACCCGCTTCCCAGCAGCCCCCTCCCACACACTGAACCCCTCACTTTTTGTCTGACCCCAGAGCCTAGTGGGGCCCACAAAATCCACTAACCCTGGAACCCCAGAAGAGTTAAGTTGGCCTGAGGCCTTGAACCTCAGTCCTACGGGGCTTTTGTTTTGGGGGGGGTTTTGCTTCTCTCTTGTGTGTGGCCACTGACTGATTTTTTCGGTGGGGCAGTGGCCCCGATCCAAAAAAGGTTCCCAACCCTCATAATTGATTGATAATTGGCCTGTTTAAAGCACGGTGTGCGTTCAGCTGTGTTTTCGTATCCATCCCCAAATTAGTCCCACCTAGACTTTTGAAGCAGGTTGATCCTTCCTTTGCTTTTATCTTTCACTGTCTGTGTGATCTTTCCACAGTTATCCGGTATTAAACATACCCCTAGAAATCAAACCCTTTTATCTCTGTCTAGAGGGCTTATCTCCTACAGACATAAGGCACATTCCTATGTAGCTTCCCCTTTTGAGAAGAACAATCCTTTTGTTTCACAGCCGAGAACTTGAACCCCCATATGTTTCTCCAGGTTCAAATGTCTCTTGGTGCTTTGTTGAGTCTCTTTTCAGCCTCCCCTGTATTCCTGCTCCTAATTCATTCATCTTGCTCTGAAAATAAGGGCTGGGGCTAGTGTCACTCTTCTTTATTGTGACGCTCTCTAGCCCAGTATTAAATAGGAGTGGGCTGATGGTCAGGGGTACCTCTGGTTTCTCCCACCCCTGGACTGAACACGTTTTCTTACGTGCACCAGTGCGGAGGTGCCGTGCGATGAGGTGCTGTACGACACATCACCTTTATAGTGGTGCACATAACAAAACTCATAGGATGGGAGTGGGGCCTGAGGGGTTCTGAGTGTGGGAGGGGGCTAAGGGACTCAGGGTTGGGGTGCAGGAATGTGAGGGCTCCAGCTTGGGGGGCAGGCTCTAGGACAGAGCTTGGGTTGAGGGGCTGAATGCTGGGACAGAGGTTGGGGTGCAAGGGTGCTGGCTAAGGATTCAGGCTCTGGGGGGAGGTGTAGGGAGGGCACTAGGTTTTGTAAGGGGCTCAACTGGCGGTTGGAGTGCAGGAGGGGGAAAGAGGAACCCCTGGCCACTACAGCTTGGTGCTGGGGCAGGTGGAGAGTGGCTCCTTCCCACATCCCTGGCAGTTTCAGGGCTGAGATCTCTTCCCGTTGCAGCCGTGAGCACCTGCGTGGGGCTTAATGAGCGTTAACCGATGGTGCTTCCCAGTGGTCCATCCCATTGTTAAAATGAGAGCGATTTGACACCTCTTTCCCATCACTGACCAGCTTGGTCTGTAACTGAGAAATTCTCGCTTTATCCCCGTTGCACGGATTGTCCAGTTGGCCCCGTTCCGCGCTCAGCTTCGTGGCTTGAGAGGACTGGCCGTCCCGCTGTTTAACCCTGGCCCGTCTCGCAGGTGACTTAATCGGCCTCTTGTCTGTGGCTACTGTGGGCTGCATCCCCATCCCACCGCTGTTCCAGCGAGTCAGGAAATGGGCAAGTTTGGCTTTTAAGAAACTTCCTTTTGCCCCAAGTGGGAACAAAGCGTCCCCCTGGCTGCCCAGCGACCCCACGAAGCCGCCGTTCCAGAAACCTCTAAAAAGCCTGCTTGCCGTGTCCTGTGCCGACACGTCTCTTCAGTTGAAATGAAACGTTTCAACGACTTAGTTGGGGTTGGTCCTGCTGTGGGCAGAGGACTGGACGCAGTGACCTCCTGAGTTCTCTTCCAGCCCTAGGATTCTCGGATTCTGTGACTTCCCGTCCATTTGCGATACGTTCCTGCGAACTTGGGTTGCTTTTGGCCTTTTTCTGATGGCAAACCGTTCGGCGGGAAACTTTTTCGTTGCCTAGCTCTGCGGTTTAGTCTGGTTGAGGAGCCAGCCAGGAGCAAAGCAGAACAGTGGTTCAGTCCGTCCAGTCCCATTGCAGATCATGATGTAAAATGCCCATAATGCAAGTGTGACGGCGCGTTGGGGTCCCCCACCTCCTGCACCCCCGAAATGGCACGAACAGACTCCACCAGCCGGTAGAATAGAGGTGGTTTATTGCTTCTCCAGGATACAGCACGGATGTCGTCAGGTTACAGGACAGGTCTAGGATGCCTCAGCCCCCCTTGATATGGGGGGGTCTCGGCTTCTAACCCCCCCAGCCTGCTGCTGAGGCTGCTTCCTCCATGCTCCCAGACGGAAACTAACTCCCTCTCCTCCAGCCCTGCCCCCCAGCCAGGGCAGCATTCACCTTCCTTTATTCCTCTCCATGGGGGTTAGCTGGTCTGACCGGTTGAGAGATCCCTTTGCATAATGACCCATCCCTGTCCTTCTGGGCGGGGGGCCCGGCGCCAGCCAGTGGGGTTACCACAGCCCCATAGAAACCAGCAAGTTCACCCCCCACTACGTCACAGCAAGCAACGCTAATACCCCGAAAAGACTCGGGCCTGGTCTTATGCAATTTGGATAGACCAGGAACAGGCTGCTTCCGACCTGCGCATCCCAACGCGGCCGCCGTTGGAGCCTTTCTGTGCACGGCACCCATCCTCCCGCTTCCTGTTGCAATGACAACGTCTTTTGAAATATTTCCTCCCTGTCACAGCCTGGGCACTCGGCTTCAAAGCCCTGGGCTCCGCAGCTAGCGGGAGGGCGTCAGAGCCCGGCATCCTGTTTACCTTCCCTCCCTTGGGTGTGTTTCAAGTCACCGTTTGCAGCCGTTGGAGCCTTTCTGTGCACGGCACCCATCCTCCCGCTTCCTGTTGCAATGACAACGTCTTTTGAAATATTTCCTCCCTGTCACAGCCTGGGCACTCGGCTTCAAAGCCCTGGGCTCCGCAGCTAGCGGGAGGGCGTCAGAGCCCGGCATCCTGTTTACCTTCCCTCCCTTGGGTGTGTTTCAAGTCACCGTTTGCAGCCTCAGCAAGGCGGAGACGTGAAAGCTGCTGGCCAGAGGAGATCCGTTGGCCGCTGACCGCGGTTAGCTGCAGGAGGAGCAGTGCCCCCGTTGTGTTCACCAGCTGTGATCAGATCTGTGTCTCCCCCATCACGAGGGAGTCGTCCTCCCTCTCTAAGGCTTTGCGACCCCTATCTGAATGGTGGGGGTACGTCCGCCTCCCCACTTCGTTCCACAGGAGACGTGATCTCAACCCTTTCCCCGTGTGGTGGGTTGGGAAGTTCGGCAGCAGCAGCCACTGCTAGGTTCCCAGCAGGGTAGACGAGCGTGTTTGCTGCTGCTTTCTTACCCCCCGGCAGGAGCTGTCTTAAAATCCGTCCACGTCTTCTCGGATGAGGTTCTGACTCTGCCTTCCCAGCTGGGATGGGTGGCGTCTCCCTTTCCTTGGGCTCGCCCCCAATCTGAAGGATCCAGCCTGCAGAGGTCCTGCCGCTCCCCTGCCCCAAGGCCAATCAGGGCCTGGGGGAAGGGGGAGCTGTGTGAAGCTTCCTTCGCCCTGCCCCGCCCTGCAAGGAGCCCGCGGCACTTCAAAGTGTCACATGCTCCTTGCAGGGCGGGAGGAGGCTTCCCGCACTCCTCTGCCCCCAAGCCCTGATTGGCCTGGGGGTGGGGGAGGGTGCCTAGTGGGAAGGGGGGGCAAAGGGGCTCCCCCACCCCCAGACCAATCATGGTCTGGGGGTCAGGTAGCCCCGCCCCTTCCTGTTTAGGCCCTACCCCTTCCAGGTGATTTTTGAAGTGGCCCCCAGGCAAAAAATATTGCCCACCCCTGAAGTATGCGGACCCATGGCCTCGCTGGCCTGCCTTGGGCACCAGCCAAGAGCAAACCCCTTGGAAGGCACCTGGCGGGTGGGCACCAGGTTGTAAATTGGCGGCATGCACAGGGGTGGGATCTCCAAGATCCACTGCCTCTCTACACTCATTCACCCCGGCCCCAGGTGTGGGGGTCAGGAAGAAACGTTCTGGCTGGAGAACATCCCCTGGGCTCTTCACCAGGATGGGTTTGACGTGGAGAAAGATTAGCCACAAGGATCAGGCAGGCGATCACTTTCTCTGAGGATCCCTCTCCTCGGATGCTCTCGGAGGGCAAACGCCTGGGGGCTGGCTCAGCGTCTGCTTTCTGGGTCTCCTCATGACTCAAGCCTGATATGACTCGGTCACCCCCTTCCCCTGCCCGGCAGCCTCCTTCCTTGTCACGGGCTCCGGGCTAGATTCCATGCTGGCTCTGTAGACTTCGGTGGAGTTGCCAACTCTAGCAGAGGCCCTGACAGCAGAATTTGGCTCACAGGGCTTCTCTCTAACCTCCTGAATGCCGCTCCAGCAGTGCAAAGGCCTTTTGGGGAGGTAGCTCAAGGCCCAGGGAGACCTTCCCCCAGAACGGGAGCAGCACAGGGCGAGGTACGTGGTACTGCCCCCTGACCTACATGGGAGGACCCAGAGTGCTTTGTGTTCTGGGAAATTGCGGCAATGCAGCTCCGATCCCCAGGGCTGCTCGAACTGTATTACAGGGGCCAGCAGCACCTACGAGAGTCAGAATTGAGGCAGCACCGAGTTCCTTTTTCTTCTCAAGAGATGCCAAATCCCTGCCCCGTCTGTGCCTCAGTTTCCCCATGTGCAATTCGGGCGTGATGAAACACTCCCTCGTGTATAAAGCACTTTGCCAGCCCCTAAAAACCACCCGAAGGGGCAACACATGTTCAGCCTGCTAGCTGTCCTTGCCACGAAGCCCCTGGGTACAGTCCATGCCATAACTGCCTGTCAGTGTTGTCTCTCTTTGCCAGCAAGACATTAATGTTAATTTACGCCCCTGTTAAATCTTCTTTCTTTTTGTCCTCTCTGCAGAAAAAGAAGAGGAGGCGAATTGACCGCACCATGATAGGGGAGCCAATGAATTTTGTACACCTGACGCACATCGGATCGGGTGATATGGCAGCTAACGAGGGCCTTCCCATGGTACCGTATCATTTTAATCCTTCATTTGGGGCATGGGACAATCTGTAGAGCAACAATACCCCACTGCAACTGCAAGGAGGAAACGGAGGGCTTGTCTACACAGGGACATGCAGGGAAATGTAATCCGAATTAACTGTGAATTGGAATTGGCTTAGTTTAACTACATTAAACCCCTGTGGGAACATCTTCATTCAGAAACCAAATAAAGGCAATGTTAATTCTGAATGAAGGTATTCGGTACAGGGGTTTTTCTGTGGTTTAACTAATCTATTTCAAATTCACATTATTAGTTAATTCAGATTAACTTTCCTGCATGTCCCTGTTTAGACAAGCCTTGCAGAGTCATTCCACCCCAATGACTGGATGCCACTGAAACAAAACCGCCCTCTTTCATTCCTGCCTAGAGCTGTCCCTTCTGGCCACCTCTACATCAGCCTTGCAAGACAGCATTCTCATGCTTGCCGGGCTGGTAAATTGTCATGACCCATTTGCCAGACCGACTTTAATGCTGTTGATGAATTGGTATTATGTTATTACCCCGGATGGGAAATGAACTCAAGTCAGAGCTGACAAGCTGCTGTTGTGATCATTTTTCCCCCACCTTAAAATTAACGTGCTGTTCGTGTGGCTAAAAACTCTGTGGCGGGGAACTTCGCCCTTGGATAAGCACTGAGCCTTTGAGTAAAACGCTAGTGGGTGCTCGAACAAAATGGGAAGAAAATATGATCCAGTGCATGAGTTCTTAATGTGGGAGTCACAACTGCCCTTCTAATTCTGTGGAATGGGGAAGAGGACAGTCCCGGCAGGGGATCTCAGGGTGGAAAAGGTAGGAAACCACATTCGGAAGTGGCTCTCTTCGTACAGTGGAACATGGCTCTCTTCATACAGTGCCTACTACAATTGGATCCTGACTGACTGACATTGGGGTCTACATAATAGGGATAATTAATAGCACCTGGACGAAAGGAAACCCTTGTGTTTAAGGAACAGGGCTGGATGCCTGGCCACCAACATGCAATTCCTACCTTTGCCACTGGTTCACTTTGTGACCCTAGTAAGTCACCTCCCTTTGCCTTCGCTACCATCGGTACTGGGATAAAGAGCTTTCTTGCGCAAGAGAGCGTTTACACTGGCGTGGATGCCCTTGTGCAAAAGCACATGCCAGTGCAGACGCTTTCTTCTGGAGGTTTTTTGCCCAAGAACTCTTCCGCAAAAGAGTTCTTGCGCGAGAAGCTGCCAGTGTAGATGTAGCCTAGAGATATGTCTACTCACTGTGAGTTCTCAGCAAAAAATATGTTAATGGGGGCTCATTTGCATGAATCGTGATCTCATTTGCGTATTTTCTGCCGATTCGTTTTTGTGCTGAGGTTTTTGCGCAAAAACCCCTTTTCCGCAAGATCGGGAAAAGGGGGTTTTGCACAACAAGAAAATGTACACACAGCTTGTTTTTCCACAAAAACCCCAGCACAAAAACGGAGTGGCAGAATATATGCAAATGAGATCATGACTCATGCAAATGAGCCCCTCATTAGCATATTTTTTGCTCTGATAACTCATAGTGTAGACATAGCCCAGAAGATACACCGTGCCAAATGGATTTTTACCGGCCTCTTTACATATGTAACTTTCAAGACACAGAGTGCATGGAAAGGCCTCCTTGTGACCCGACACGCCCTGGCTTGCTGCTGCCTGCCTTCTGCTAGATCACTCACACACACCAGGGTCTGTTTGACTCAGCAGCTCTGTTTGGGGGGTTCCAAGCCCAATAGGATACCCCTTTTCATAGGGAAGGACTCCAGTCTATCCTACCCCGATTTCCTAAAGCGTCCACAGGAGGTGGCCTCAGGGATTGCAGCCAGATCTGGTCCTGTCCCTATGGGAGGGTGAGACTTGAGCTACCTGACACGTCTGGTGCACGTGTAGTGCTGTGTGGGACAAACCTCCGGGAGGCGGGCTGCCTGCAATGCTCCTGAGCTCTTCGGTCCACCTCCGGTCTCTTCCACTGGACCAACAGGGAGGAATTTCCAGGGTTGAAGACCCTTCATGGAGAGCACCGCTCCACCAGCCCTGCTCCATCTAGAGAATGTTCCCTCCCCGCAGCAGGGCATGTGCCTTAGCCAGGGCAGAAGCTTGCACGTCACTAAGAGGTGGCTCTGGCATCTGCAGTACAATTTGCGCCAGGAACAGATTTTCACACGTCCTTCAGAGACTTCTCCGTGGTCACAGGCTTCCCCACAGCATAAAACCACATGCTGCGTGAGCCGCTGCTTTGGCAAGGAGGCTCTGTACTCAAATGGAGTAGGCACAGGAGTAGGTGTTGGGAGTCCGGGGAGCCTGAGGCCTTCTGCTGGCTTGACTTGCCACCTTTCCGGGCCTCTGTTTTCCTATCTGTAAAATGGGGATCACACTCAAGCTGCAAACTATCCGCTCAGCAGGGAACGCTACAGGGCCTTTCCCAAAGAGGTGGCCCGTATCCCCATGCCATGTCTTAGTCCTATTCCTGGCTTGTCCTCGCATGGGCATGTTTGCTTTGGAACGGTGACTGCACTGAGGACAGCTGTGGCTTTGCCCCACCCCGCCCCAGGCTCTGTACTCTGGGCGTGTTGCACTAACTGTTTGAATAGAACCAGTCACAGGAGCTGCACCTAGGAGATTTCGCAGGTGTGTCCTTTACATCCTGGGGGGTTTAAGGAAATGAAGCGGGAGGCAGCTTCTCCCAACTGGATCGTTGGTTCAAATCCAGTCCTGGGGGCTGGCCTCAGGGCGCTCCAATGCGGATGGAGCTGGTGGCGCTGGGGTCTGCTCTTGGAGCATCCTGATTGCAAAATCCAGCCTCGCTTGTGCTGATGGCAGCAGGGGCCACGGACTGAACGGCCTCTGAATTCCAAGCCTCGCAGCTGATGACTAAATCAAGGTGATGGAGGAGGAAGCCGTCAATGTGGATAAATAGGCTTCAACCTGCCAGAGTGGTGTTCCCTTAGGGTGGGCACTGTCTGCGGTAGGGGTAGAGGAGCGGTTCCCGGGGACAGGTGCCAACGGTGCACTGAGGGCTGCTGACAGTTGTCATGGCTGCTACGTTGCTGGCAGGGTAGTGTTGAGCCTGTGATGGAGGAGGAGGGGACATCTCCTTCGCCTGCCAGCTGCAAAGGTTGGCTGGCTGGCTGGAGGAGGCGCGTGTCAGGAGCTATCTCTTGTGACCCGTTGGCTGTGCTCCTTGCAGCTGGCAGGAAATTGCTCACAGCCTCTGTGAAATTGCTCTTGACTGTGACTTGCAAGTCCTAGCAGCAGGGTGTTTAATTTTGGCGGAGTGAAGGCGAGGGGTGTTTCACAACAAAGGTAATCGGATGGGGCAGCTGGAGGGCTGTGCTGGGTTTGTCTCCTCTAAATGCACTTGGAGCACTCTCTGAATGGCTGATCACTCCTTTTTGCGGCTCTGGATCATGCTGTTCCCATTCTCGAAGCCATTCAGGGTATGGCCTGGGAGTCTGGACTCCTGGGCTGCATCTAGACTGGCAAGTTTTTCCGCAAAAGCACCTGTTTTTGCGGAAAAACTTGCCAGCTGTCTACACTGGCCGCTTGAATTTGCGCAAGAACACTGACGATCTCATGTAAGATTGTCAGTGTTCTTGCAGAAATACTATGCTGCTTCTGTTCCGGCAAAAGCTCTCTTGCACAAATGCTTTTGCGCAAGAGGGCCAGCGTAGACAACGCGGTATTGTTTTGCGCAAAAAAGCCCCAATGGCGATCGGGGCTTTCTTGTGCAAAACCGCGTCTAGATTGGCACGGACGCTTTTCCGCAAAAAGTGCTTTTGCGGAAAAGCGACCGTGCCAAGAACCATCTTTGTACCACATCCAACTCATAAGTCCATCTGCCAAGGATCAAGGAAATATGAAGGCTCGTTCAGATTACATCAGAGTTTTCTAGCCATCATCTTCCTTCTCAAGTGCCCCTAGGAGGGGAAGATTAGAGACAGGGTGAGAACTGACAGAACTGAAATGGTGTCTTAAGCAGAACCCTAACTGCCATGTCTTTGAGGGAAGAGGGTATGTTGTGTCCCCACGGCAGGGAAGCGCTATTCTCAACCAACATTGGAGCTAGGAACTCCAGGAGAGGTAGGGTGGGTCAATGTACAGGTATGAACCATTGACCTTAACACCCATAGTAACTGCAGCAACAGGCCAAATTTGTACAAGCAGCAGCTGCATTTGTCCCCTCCAGTCACAGTTTCGATGAAGAGGCTGCTTGTCTCATCAGTGGTGGGCACCCTGCAGCCCGAGGGCCGCATGCGGCTCGCTGGGGTTCTAGGAGTGGCCCACAAGACATTTTGTTTACTGTTGACCACGTGCAGGGCTGCCAGGTTCTGCTGGTTTCCAGCTGTGTCATTTTTTCTTACCAGTATTACGCAAGTGACACGCCCATAAAGCAAGGGCACATGGAGGGAGGTGCAAATGGATTGCACCCAGTGTGCAGCCAATCACGGCGCAGCTACGGTTCCGCCGGCACCGCCCGCACGTTCTAGGTACCCAAGTGCAGCGAGCAAAACCGCCCTGTTGGAGAGCGTCTTGGTTACGACAATCTTGCGGCCCCACTGAGCTGAAGGAAGGTCACGCGGCTCGCTAGCCTCGGTTGCCCATGGCTGCTGTAGGAAATCTAGAGGACCCTGCTGGAGTGAGTGTCCTTAACCGGGTCTGCTGCAAGCTGGCAGGTTGCAAGGCCGTAACATCTGCTCTTCCAAAGCAGCTTGGCAGTCAGACCTGGCAGAGAGAGTTCAATGGGACCATGATCTTTCCGAGGCAGGAAAATTGCCCTGGAATCTCATCTGGTGGGACCTGTGACAAGGGGCTGTCAACGCCGGCCCGTCACTGAGCTTCTACTGCTTTATGGGCCCAGGTGTCTGTCCAACCTGTCCGTCCCAGGGGAGCAAGGAAAGAAAGCCCTGGATTCTGAACCCAGCAGGGATCCGGCGATTGTCTCATTGGACCTCTTGCATGGCACAGGC